GCGTGCTGCCGTTAATCACGGTCGTCGCGGCTCCGGCCGCCGCCATCGCGTGTATCTACTGCGCGCCGGCGCGTGCGGGGAGGAAGGCGGGGCGACGGGTGCGCCGCGACGCTGTACGCGGCACGCTCCCCGAGCGAGAGCGAATAACTAATGTTTATAAGCTATTTTCGATATTACACTTACTTAAAAGTGTGCTAGTATAGTCAGCCTCTCTGAAGTGATCGCTGCAGACTTTACGAAGGCATTTTAACTTGGTTATATCGCTATGACGATACGATCGGCTATTCGTGATTCCTGTATCTTTCCAACTGACCGGTTGATTGCGCAATGACCGGTTGACCTCACGAGTCCGGGGAATCCGACCACCCGTAGTGGTCGCGAATCCACCGTTTGAATCTCAAACGTTCTCACATCATTCTAAGGAGTTGTCCTTTGTTCATTCCCAATACTCGCTCAATTCTCAGCCATCCATCAGGCTGTCGGCGCTTCCCTTGACATGCTGTTGTTATCATGAACAGTGACTGCTTCTGCAGGGTAGAATTCTCCATTTGTACACAGTGACCAAGCCATTCGATGTAAATCCGCTCTTGATAGACTTTCAGTGATTTGCCTCCCGTTAGTCGGTATATATCTGCATTGAGATGGGAGGATGGGTTCATCTTTGATTAAGCCACAGAGGGATTTCAGTTTGTCGGCAATGTTATTAACCATGGCATGCAAGCCATTGAGAGAGAGCGATCAAATATCTCGCTCCCTGCACCACATTGAGGTTTACGTGTGTGAGACAGAGAATTCGATTCCCTTCTCTCCAACGATCAGTTGTGAGGTTGCTGAGCGTCGGTGACAAACGTTGAAACACTGATGTGAAGTGTTGTGACTACACCTGAGCGTGGAATACATTAGCATGCACGTTGAATCAACCATACAGGTGGAAGTCAAGTACACCTAAGTGATGGTGGGTGCAGGGCCACTGTGCATGCACACACATGATAATGTTCTGTCATGCTTCATGCGTGTGTGCAGACGTACCTGTCAGCGCGAGAACGCGTGTGTACTAGGCTTTATTGCTGTCACATAATGGCAGAGATGTAGATGAACTGATTAAGTTCATGAGTTGATACCTGAAGTGTGGACTGGTGGAGGGAGATTGAACGCACCGTACGTACAGGTGGCAAATTAAACAGTTACCAAAACAATTAACAAATAGTTAATAAAACAGTAAACAAACAGTTAATAAAACAGTAAACAAACAGTTAATAAAACAGTAAACAAACACAGTTGAAAGGTTAAACAGTTACAATGATAGGCGTTTCAAGGCGCTGGTTAAATTCAGGAGTATTACGATGTGATGTATGATGTTGTGTGCGTGTGCGAGGCCGCGTACGTGCTTGCGGCCAGTTTTCGCATGTGTGTACAAAGGTTTATGTGTATGAGTGAGTGCGTGTGCATGTGTGAGCGTGCGTGCATACGCGTGAATGTGTATAGATATATGTATAAGTGTGTACGTGCGTGCGTGTGTGTGCGTGTATGCGAGCTTGCGTGCGTGTGTTTGTGTTTGTTTGTGTGTGTGTGTGTGTGAGAGAGGGGGGACGTGTGTGTGAGTGTGTGTGTGCGTGCATGTGTGTGCGTGCGTGCGTGTGTGTATGTGAGAGGGGGGACGTGTGTGTGTGTGTGTATGTGCGTACGTGTGTGTACGTGCGTGCGTGCGCGTGCGTACGTGCGTGTGTGTGTATGTGTGTGCGTGCGTGCTTACGTGTGTGTGTGTGTGTGTGTGTGTGTGTGTGTGCGTGTATGCGTGCGCGCGTGCGTGTATGCGAGCTCGCGTGCGTGTGTTTGTGTTTGCGTGCATTCGGTCGTACATGCGACCAGAAAAACCTGATTACCGGGGTCGTTGTCTTTATCAGGGTGTAGCTTGTCTCCAGGGAGCTTGACCAGTGAATGTACACAAACAATTCCTGCATGTTAATGCCTAGCCCTTAATTGTCGCGGCCAATGTCGCGGTGGTAAAAATGTCACTTTCCAGACCGCGTCAGTGCGGTAATGAGGCTAGTACGGCTGCAGGCAGTAGTGACACCAGCGTAGTCAAAGTAAAGCCAGTCTCTGCAGTAGTAGTGGTCACGCAGGGCGTCTAGAGCGTGGTATCTGTGCGTGTTGCTGGCGTGTGCCATCAGCGTGGGTTATAGCGCGTGGGTTAGGGAGACTTGCAGTGTGTCCACCCTCACCGGACTCTTCAAACATCAAGCATACGTACCGCGATCATGTAACAGTTCTGCGACCGACGCGCGAGAGAATATTCATTTCAGCTTTCCCGGAAGCTGGTGCCTTAAACTAGCGTCATCTCGCTGTTTCTATATACAAGTGCTGGCTCGGTCTCTTACTGCCTCACCCCTGTGTCACCCGTGTCACCCATGTCACCCGTGTCACCTGTGTCACTTGTGTCACCCGTGTCACCTAGCTGTGTTGCACGTGTCACTCGTGTCACCTGTGTCGCACGTTTCACACGTGTCACTCGTGACCCCTTGTGTGACCCCTGTGTCACCCGTGTCACGCGGACTCGGCTGCGACTATGAACGACCTTGACACTGACACGCGTGTTTCCGAGCAGATCATTGTCAGGGTGGTTGCAGATGCTGGCGTCGTCGTCCAACCCTGCTCTGTGTTTCATCAACAACAACAAGACCGGCTACTGGTCCGTGACTGAATCTGGTCCGAAGTGGATTCTGCAACGGACTGACACTGAACTGGAGCTAGCATCTGTGTTGCACCAGGCTCTCCACTGAAACACTCGTCAGAACGCTAAACTCCTGGTCTGTCGAGCTGCTCAAACGACGGAATCCGACATGAGCATCCGAGTCGCGATGAACGCGACCGATGACGACGGTTACCGCGGCAACGCGACGTTCACCGTTGCCGGCGGCGACGACGACACGCCGTACCTCATCGACGTCATCATCCTAGCGATCGCCTGCGCCGGCACGATACTCAACGGTGGCGCCGCCGCGCAGCAGGTGCGGAACCAGATGCACGGCCTCGGCTCGAACATGGGGCGCCTCGCGATGGCGCTGTTTGCCGAGATGGCGCCCGACTGTGCGCTTCACGCGGCGACGGTGGCGCGCTCGCTGCTCGGGGCTCCGGTGTCCGTCGGCTGGTGCACGCTCACGCACGCGTGGACGCCCTTCGTCGACTTCTGTGTCGCGTGGACGCTCGTGCTGATGGTGGCGTCGGTGGCGCCCCCGCGTCGCCGCCGCGCCGCGCGACACGACTACTGGCTCCTCCTGCCGCTCGTCGGCATGCTCGCGTTGCTCTTCAACGTCTACATCCTCGTCGTCGTCGGGCAGCGCCATCTACTGGCGGTGACATCGCAGCGCTGCGTGGCGCGGGTCGATGACGCGCGGCCGTTCTGGTGGACGTACAGCGTGCTGCCGTTAATCACGGTCGTCGCGGCTCCGGCCGCCGCCATCGCGTGTATCTACTGCGCGCCGGCGCGTGCGGGGAGGAAGGCGGGGCGACGGGTGCGCCGCGACGCTGTACGCGGCACGCTCCCCGAGCGCGTCGGCCGGCAGGGGGCGCCGCGGCGGCACGTCGCCGAGGCGCTGTGCGTCGTCGTGGCGACGCATCTCGGGCTGCTGGCGATCGTGCGGCCCGCGCACGCGGTGAGCATGATTGCGCGCGGCGCGGCGGCGGCGGCGGCGAGGGGGGGTCATCGTCGCCGCCGAGGCTCTGCTGCTGCTGTCGCACGCCGTCACCCCGGTCGTGTTCGCCCTGCTCGCGCCACGCCTCGCGTGGCCGCGCCGCCTCGTGTGGTCACGCGACGAGAAGACACCGGCTAGCGAGGAGGGAAGCTCACCCCCAGAGAGGAAGGGGGAGGGGCAAACTTACGTTGAGGGCAGCCCCATGTCAGAGAGGAAGGGGGAGGGGCAGACCTACGTTGAGGGCAGCCCCATGTCAGAGAGGAAGGGGGAGGGGCAGACCTACGTTGAAGGCAGCCCTGCCTCAGAGAGGAAAGAAGAGGGGTATACTTACTGCGAAGAGTGCAACCCTATCCCCAAGAGAAGGGAGGTGGGGCAGACCTGCCAAGAATGCAGCCCAATTCCTAAGAGGAGGGAGAGAGAGGGAGACATCTGGGGTACCGTACCCTCTTGGCGAACAACTGGACAGAAAGGCTCGTGTCACTCCGCTTTGGATCCAAGTGGAGGCGATTCAACGAGGGTTCTATTCTGATTAACGATTTAGTGAAAATGCGATTACTGCACGTGATTACTTGCGCGACTTATCCTATTATAACCTATTTTGACTGGATGTTTATAGGTCAGTTTCATCACCAAATTTTTGTAGATTGCTAGTAGTTTATTATTAGTCGTTAATTTTGACAATTTTAAGTAATTGGTGTGCAGAGTTCCATACCAAATGATGTAATGTTGCCAACTAGTTGTGCATGAATTCTCATGTTTTGTACAGTTGTGTGATCAGACTTGCTTTGTGTTTGTAGTAGAAATGACTTCCTTACGGGCGCAGATACTTGTAGAAATTTGCATGTCGACATTAAAATAAAATGCAAAATCAACTTACCAAAAACTGTTGACTATTTTGTTATAGAGTGAACGTGATATGATGTTACAGACACAACACAATCACCTACACACCACTCTCTTAAATCTTACGTGGGGTGTCAACACAGGGTGAGTGGGCAATATGAAAATATTCAGTACTATGGGGGAACATGTGAGAACATAAATATACATATGGGAAGTATCAAATGCCTGAAATAATAATTTACAGGATCCAGGTTTGACAAACTCTTTATCACTTGGCGATTTCAGTCGTTGGGCTATGCAGTAGCTTTTCTGTTCCTGAGAGAAAGGTACTTTGCTGTATGAATTTCCTCTCTGAGAAGGGCAGATGTAACCTGCTCTGCTATACTCTGTTATTTATTTTTTTTAAACAATGGCACTAGTAAGGTAACCAATTGGTTAAAGCATTCTCCTCTTATTCTATTGCAGTTGTTGAAGAAAGAGAATTTGGACTTGAAATTAACACCTTATAGAGTTCTGGCAACGAGCAGCAAACATGGTAGGTTGTGCAGCTCACTGACAGATAGCGCCAGTATAGCTGCTTTGCTATACTGCTTATGTCACAAGCACTTGGGCTGATATTGGGTCTATGTCCCCCAGGTTACTATCGGAGGGTACCCTGGGGGACATAGACCCTATCAGCGGCACTTTGAGCATTTCAATAAAATATAATGCTAAATAAAGACGAAATCTATTTACTACCAAAGTCTTAATGTTTCTCTACTCTC